TATCATAATTTCAGAACACATAATGCTTAGTTAAAAAAAAGATGCAGTTGTCCTTTCACTCCCAAGGAGCACAATTTATTTCAATTAGCTGTGGTTTTACAAGTTATTTTACTAAACATATTCTGTTCCTTACTTTCCTCAGGGGAATAATCACAAAGAAAAACAGCTTCATATTTTATCAACAGTGAATTTTTCTATCAAGTGGCTTTTATCTTTTTCTCCTTCAACTGTCACCTTGAAACTACTTGCTTTCTTCAACTTTCATCTTTGAGACCATCTCTAATGATCTGCCTTAATTTCTTACAAGTGTATTATTGTCCTTTCAGTCACATTCACATCCCAATGTGGAAAAGCTCTTGAAAGCAGAGACCCTGTGAGTAACATCAACATAGTTAAAAAAATAAAAAATACATACATATTTTAGCTTAAACTTAAAAAGCAATAAAAATTTGTAGCACTACTCCGAAATTTTGCATTACATGAACAAATATCCTTCTTATCATCTGTTTAATTTTCTTTGAAAAGTTTTATAGCTATTACTCTCAGACCAATAGCATAAAAGTAAAAATATAAGATTCTCAGTCTATGAATAAAGACAAGTAGCTGGAGCTGAGGTAAGAAAGCGCCGCCCTGTGATGGGAGCCCATCTGGATCCTGACATCTTCAGCACAGCAAATGCTCACAGCCTTCCTGTATTCCTGTACCACACAGAGCTTTCAGCAATGCCATGGAGACAAGCTATGGGGTAAACCATGGTCTTTCCCAAGAAAGAAACATACAGAAAAGAAAATAACTGGTCAGGTGGAAAGCGATCGAAAAAAGCAATGAACATGCACAAAAAGAAGGAACAAAATTACACTCTGAAGGAAGAAAAAGCCCAAGCATGTGGAGAATGGCAAAAGGTGTGCAAATGCAGGTAATAGTAACCCAAAAGAAAATGGGGACAGATGAAATGGTCTAGGCTCATTATAGAGTAGTCTGAATCAAAATTAGGCATGAGAAATAATGCAGGAAGATCACACAGTGCTTTTCTCTGTTAATGTAAGACAAAATTAAAGAAAGCAAAGCGTCCATGGGCAATCAAACCCACCTGGAAACAAGCTTCTTTACAGACCACACAAAATCAAAGGGTATTTAGCCCCAATGCACACTGCTAAAACAATACCTATTAAAAACAAAAGGATGAAGACCGGTGCTGACAGTGTTTAACATCACAGACAAGGAGCACAGCTGCTCAGGGTAAGCGCTGCGTGTTTCAATTCCTAGGACTTTAAAACCAGATCTGTCTACCATACTTTATATTTTCTAACTCTATCTTTAATTAGTGTACATTGCTGTTTGATTCACAATTAGAGGATGAGCCAGCACTTTTTGGCCAAGTGACATAAAATTCTGGAAATCTATGGGAATCTGCAAAGGTCGACAGAACTGAATACCTAAAATGGGAGCATGAGGCACAGATACAATACAAAAAAAGCTTTGGAATCCATTGTGCAGACAGACATAACATTGCAATTCCAAAACTGAAAAACAGAACCAGGACAACAGCTTGAAATGTAAACAATTACGGAATCACCCACAACAAAGTTCACTACATTCATGTGTTTGTTAAGGGAACCGGTATCCTTAGATTTAGGTCCTGCAGCTATACTGAGTGCACAGACAGAAAGAAAAGCCAAGAGGCCTGTAGCAGCACAATGGTGCTGCAGCTCTCTAGGAGGACCCTGCTGGAAGGAACATCGGGATCCCCCCAGACCCCAGACACACCGCAGTCAGCAGGATGTCGCAGCCTGGGACACGTGGCGCCTTTTCCAAACAGCACCAGAGCCAGCGGCATTGCACCGCTTCCATCCTGCACAGCCAGCCTCATTCCCCGGCTCTGCTCTGCCCTAGCCTGCCCTCCCCACCGCATCCCAGTTAGACTTGGCCTCAGCATTCCGGCCTGAGCACAGTTTCCCTTGGGCTGGTGCTGTGGGGTGGCATCAGCTCCGAGTGTTCTGGTACACTACAGCAGGGGAAGGCACGCAGGGAATCGCACAGTGGAGCGGCAGCGGCAGAGACATCTCTGGCATTTGCTCCGTGTTGTGAGTTACATAACGCTGTGATACTCCGGAGTAGATGCCGCTTGATGACACAACTGATCTGCGGGCAATAGTTGCATGTTCCAGAACAAGGAGCACGTTGAAAAATCAGTGTTGTGCAGGTATACCTTTGTATCAGTCAAGAAGACAGGGCAGCCTAGAAAACTGGTTAAATATTGCAGCCCTATGTCATAAAAGTTTGTGGATAAATAACAAGATTAAGGATTCAGTCCTTAATTAAAAGGCAGGGATAACACATAACCAAGATGAAGAACATGTTTCCTTACTTTTCCTTGACAGCAACATCAGCCAGACTACTTCATGCTTTGTTGGAATGGAGAAAAACATGATTAAAGTTTTAATTAGAACTGATCGCAGTCCACAAACCTGAAATGGATTGTGCTGTATGAACACAGTACTAGGAGATCTTTCAAGCAAACTCATGTTCTTAAATGAACTATGGTCTTTAAAAAGGAAAGGCATTCTGTCAAGTAATAGAGTAGTAGTGAAAACTAATGACTCTGAAAATGTGTGACAGAAACAACTACAAGGAAGTACGCATTCTGAAAGGGACAGTGATTGTGTATTCTACAGAGACTGAGCTTCCACATACACTTATTTTTCTGTGTGAATAATCTGTTGCATATCGTATTCTGGTTATAAAATATGTCCATCTAATTATTTTTCATAAAGAGATAGTGATACCTCTGAGATCTGAACTTGCCAATATGTGAAGGAAGAGAATGTCTATCCAAAGCCACACTAATAACAAAACATTGCTAAAAATATATTGCCAGCAGAATTGTTGGGAGAAGTATCTGTATTGCTCAAACCCATCTGTTACAATAACATCTTCTGTACAAGAACACGGAATTTATTCATGTATTTGGCCTTTTGATAATTGACTACGGGTTTAATGCCCAAGCAATCACGCTTCAATTTCAATGTAAAGGGCAGGTGTTTTCATCACCCTGTTATCTGCACGTTTGCTTGTCAGCCGAAAAGCCTGGCGGTGCAGGTAAGCCCCCCTCCCCGCCTTGCTGCACCGCTCCGGGTCGTGCGGGATTCGGGAGCGCGGTACCTGCGCGGCAGCGGAGCTCCGCCCGCTCCGCCTCCAGCCGCCCTTCGCCCGAGGAAGCCGCAGAGCCCCGTCCCACCTCCGAAAAGCCCCTGGACAGGCTCCTCCAGGGCCGGGGAAGCGGAGGGTCTGCAGTTGCGTAACATCAACCCCCCCTCCCATTCGCCTGTCCCTCCCAATCCCCGACGGTTCCTCCGCAGCCGGAGGCTGGAGCAGGCAGCCCGGGATGGGGCAAGCCGGGAGGTGCCGGGGGAACCCCCAGCAGAGGAAAGGGGAAAGGCTCTTGGCATTGGGGACGGGATGCCAAGCTGGGGCGAGGGGAACCTTGCAAGTGGCTCCATGCGGGAAGGGGCCCGCCTGGCTGGAGCGGGAGGAGGGAGGCGTTCCCCAGTGGGGGCAGTGGGGAGAGCGGGGCACTCCGGGGGGTGGGGACACCTCCGGGCGGGCGGGAAAAGCCTCGCACCGGGGGAGCCGGCGGCACGGGCAGCGCTGCAGCGGGCAGCGAGCGGCGGGACCGAGCTGTGCGGGAGGGCAGCAGTGCTGGGGTCCCCTCTGGCAGCGCCCCGCACGGCGCTGAGCCCCTGTCCCGGCGCGGCACCACGGGCGCCGGGGAAGCGTCCCCGCCGCAGCGCTGAGCACCGCGCTCCCCCCGCACGCCGCGGCCAGGACCCGCTCCTTCCCGTCGGGGGATGGAGGAGGAGGGCGAAGAAGCCCTCGGGGTACCGGCAGGCGTTCCTCCCCTCGCCCCACACAAGCAGCGCGTCTCTCCGGGTGCGAGCAGCTTATTTCCAAGCGATGCTGGCGAGCAAAGTTGCGCCGGTCGGGCAGCCCCCGCCCGCGCTCCCTCCCTCCCTCCGCAGCCGCGCACATCCCGGCCCCCGCAGAGCCCCCGCACTCCGCTCCGCTCGGGTCAGCGCGGAAATCGCCTCCCTCGCTTTCCGCCCCGGCTGCTCACGATCTGCCTCAACCTGCTCCACCTTTTGTTTTGATCTTTGGAAATGAAATTCTCTCTCCTGCCGTCTCCTTTCCCTCCTCCTTCTCACGCCTTCGTGTGGGAGATGCCCAGGATCGCACACCAGCTTTTGTTATCTCCTCCCACCTCCATCTTCACTCCGATTGATGCCCTAGTAAATAGCAGGAGCGCGGCACCTCCGCCCCGCACCTACCCCGCTACCACCTGCAGACACCTCGCCTGTTAAATAAATTTAACGATAAAATAAAAACATCCCTTACAGGCACTGTGAAAAGCGATACAGCGATCGCATGGATCGGGAGCACTTTTGCCTCCCTCGTGGTGTGATGACCTTGTGAAGGCTGCTCTGGCGCTTGGTTTCGCACGGTCTTTTTTTCCCTTTTATTTTTTTTTTCCTTTCCCTACTGGAAAAAAATCACGCCCTTTTCGCTATCCCTTTTCAAACGAACACGAGCGCCAGACTCCCTCTTCCACCAAAGCGTTTCCAAGCGCAAATTGTTACGCGACAGCTCAGCTGTTCCTTTGGATGCTGTCGGTGCTCATATCCGGATCGGTGGGGGATTCGGTCCCATCTCTCCACAGTTAACCGCAAATCGCCGCGGGTACGGTTTCCCTCCATCTCGCTAGCGGAACAACTCCCGCACACCGACCGCGCACACCAACTTTCCCGGTGAGGATGGTCTCCGACCGCCGAGCAGCGCCGAGGCCGCGCAGCCCCCGCCTCAGCCCCGCCGCGCCTCCATCCCGCCGCCTTCCCGGGAGGAAAAGCCCCGCGCGGGGCAGCCCGGCAGCCGGTTCTCGCCCGCACCTCGCGGCTGCGGAGCCCGGATCCCCCCCCTTTCCCCCTGCGGGCCCTCCCCGCACTTACTGCGGGCGGGGGTCTGTCCGCGGTGCGGAGGAGGGCGCAGGGCCCGGGGTCCCGCGCGCTGCTGGGGCCGGAGGGACACGCGGCGCCGCCTCGGTGCGCGCCCGCCGCCGCTCGCGCCGCAGCTCCTGTGCGCGCCCCCGCTCCGCCCCGCGCGCCGCCCGCCGCCGCCCCGCACTGCAGGACCGCCGCCCCGCGCGCCGCCCCGCGCTCCGAGCATGCGCGCGGCGCGGGCGGGAGCGGGGGAAGCCCCGGGGCGGGCGGGAGCGGGGCCGGAGCCGCGAGGCGCGCGGGCTGAGGGGCACGGCCCGGCGGGGTCGGCGCCGGCACCGCGGCCCGCTCGGCCCCGTGGCCTCGGAGTCACTCACGGCCGAGCGCAGGCTGCCTGTGCTCGGCGTCGTCCGTGCCTTGCCCGGCGTCGTCCGTGCCTTGCCCGGCGGGCTGCGCCTCGCTCGGCGGCTCCTTCGCTCCACGCGTGGAACCGCGCTGCGCCCGGCGTGCGGGGACAGCGCGGGCGGCGCGGGGTGATGGCAGAATCACAGAATCAGTTAGGTCAGGAAAGACCTCTGAGATCATTGAGTCCAGCTTGTGACCAAACATCACCTTGTCAACCAGACCGTGGCACGTCCAGTCTTTTAACACCTCCAGGGACGGTGACTCCACCGCCTCCCTCGGCAGTCCATTCTGTTATCTAACCACCCTTTCTGTGAAGATTTTCTTCCTAATGTCCAACCTAAACATCCCCTACCACAGCTCAACGCTATGTCCTCATACCCGCAGTTGCCTGGGAGAAGGGGCCGATCCCCATCTGGTTCCCATCGTGTGCAAGGCGAGGGCAGCGCTGTCCCGCGCCCCGAGCCGCCTGTCGCTGTCACACGTGTGTGTAGGCGTCACCTTCCATGGCAAGGCACGCTCACACCTCTTGTCCACAAACTTCTTATACTATCGTGGAAGTTGATATATTAGCTTACTACCGTGGAAGTTATATAGCTTAGCTTTAAAACATCATTCAACCCTTGAAATGTGAAATTCAGCTGATCTTGCCCTTCAATATAAAGCCCAACTGAGGCTGCCCTGCCCTCGCTTTTGTCGCTGTCACTGCAGCAGTTGCTTTCGTGGTAGGAGTGAACCATGAGGGCTCCTTCACAAGACGCTGCACAGCGTGTAACTAACCGTAGGTCCTTTCTAAGGCAGAGACATACATCAGTGTTTACTTTCATGCATGACAAGCTCTGTCACTGACTGTTTACATAAATTAAGCATATTTAGCATGTCCTAAGCACAACACTGCAGAAAGCAGATGGATACAGCAAGGAGGTGAAAGGAAGGCAAAATAATGACATATATAAAAAAGAGTGAATTACACCTTGCCTGTTTTTAACTATCTACTCGTTATTTCAGAAAGACAAAAGCATGAAGATTGTGTAGTAAGTGATAGATGGAAATAATGTTTCATTTACTGTTGAAATGCACGAACAATTAAATTATAACACAAGCTGATGCGTACAAATGTACAGGAAATGACAGTATTTTCAGTATGCTGATGTAGACAATTGAATTCATGGGTTATCTTTTTGTAATTGGCGAAAGTCACCAATTTTGCTCCCAGAATTAATTTTTTTTTGTGTAAGTCAGCAATTTTATGATTTTGTGCTTTTTTTAAAAATTTCCTAGTGCACCCCTCTCTTCAGTTCATGTTTTGATTTTCTAGATGTGTAAAAACCCCCTGAAAATGCTAAAAATTTACTTCTATCCCAGGCTTAGCAGAAAGAAACAGGATTTGATACACTTCACTGGGTGTCTCTGAAATTCATGTTTTATTTGTTCAGATTAATTCAAATTATTTTCTGTCATCTTCATATTGTGCTGCCTCGTTGCTTCCTTGGCCTTGCAGATCATTAATAATCATCTCTAGCATAGTGAAAGTTAGAATGCCATAGCATCTGCTTCTAAGTTTTAACCGCATTGCTCCCTCATATTTTCTGTCTCTTGCGCCGTTCTTTATAAGTTTGTCTTTTACCACCACAGTGCAACACTCACTCTGTGTGACCTGTTTTGATTTTGTCCATATTGCAGTTATTGCATGACTTCATCTCATCTTTGTAACTTTTCTAGTGGCAGCAGCTTAGCTACGGAAGTGCAGAGCTCTGGGGTGACTCCAGACTCAGGGATGTACTTGGTGTGTCAGCTGAGTTTTGTGTGTTCCTCCACAACTGCCAAGGTAGCAATATTTCAGGCAGCTGGCAAGAAAGATGCCTTAGACTTGATTGTCTACTGTGTGACTGGGACATAGAGAAAATGCCCATTTCCTCATCATTCCAGGTCATCCTTTGCAAAAACTTGAACATTTGCTTACCCTCAAAAAGCAGAAATAATAGGTTTAATTTAAAAAAAAGTGGATAAGACATTTAAATTGGACTTTTAAAACATCATAGTATTTTTTAAACTCTAATTCAATGGCAGAATTCCCATCAGCCACAAAAAAGGTGTAGATTAAGCAACATAAATTATGTAGTGTGTTTTCATTTATGACTTTTCCTGTCTACATTTATGTAATGCCATATAAAATCAGGTTACTTAGACTGCATTTTCAAATGCATTTGAAAACAAGATCATCCTAAAAAAGAGGTACTCTACAGTATTACTCTAGAAAAATGGCTTATTTTTACATGTACTACATCACAGAAACAATGCAATTCAAAATCCCATTTGAAAAGTGTATATACATAGAAAGCCTTTCCACCTGCATTACTAGTGCTTAGTCAAAAACTCCCATAAAAAAGCTTCCTTTTGGTGTGGGTCAACAATTTAAGAAGTTTCCTCTGTTCTTTCATAGTGTTATCACTAGAAAGGTAATAATGACATTACCAGAGTGTGCTGTTATGACACGTCTTACATGGTGCTGTCCTACACTGCATGCGATTCCTGAAGGCTTCTGTAAGTTGGTTGTAAAGGTTGTTGAGGTTGTTGAGGTTGTTGGCATTTTCAGCCACTTAGCATTCATTTTTTTATCTGTGCAAATACTGTTGTATTTTAGACTGTGGAAAATTACATTCACTACACTTGTTTCTCAAGATAGATAATGGTAGAATTTTCCATTTTCTTGCTATACAGTTCTTTGGATGTTGCACATGCAACTTATTGTTGCCAATTAATTGTTGCAACTTCAGATGATTTTTTTAACCTAAATAACATGATGCTTATAATGGGGCTACAGCAATTTAAAAGAAGTCAGGGTCTGACCCAAAGTTTTCTATTTAAAGTGTATATTTTTTATTTTACCCTCATTATGAGCAGTGTAAATATAAGAATTCTTAGTTTATGAATGAATAGCATAACAACGTGGGCACCTGCTCTGTTACAGTCTTCCATGCCTTACATGGGTCTTCTTTTGGCTTTCAATTTCCTGAACATGCTGCTTGTATCTTTGAAAGGAGCCAAGTGAGGCCCTAAGACTCTGATCTTGTCAAGGGAGATAGATAGGCACCTCCAGAAGGAAATTCAAAATCTAATGAAATCGAGGATCCTCCTCCCCTTTTTCCTCTCCCTCCTCTGCACTCCAGAGTAGACAATTCAATATTAAAAGACACAGTAGTCTCTGAGAGGACTCACTATCTCAGCAGGTGGCTTACTGGTAATGAGATTTTTTTTTTTTTTTTAATTTAGCATGATCTCCTGTTTTGCAGACATCAGTTTAATTGCAGAATACCATTTTGGGGTTTGTATTTTCCCCTCTCTCTCTAATGCTCAATACTTGCTAAGAATATATTTGCATATATATTTTACGAGAATCAACAGCAGAAAAAATATAATTAGAAGGAGTTTGAATCTATATCTACATCTCTAGCTGTATGCTTTATGTTCTGCCAGGCCTTTTGAAGGAATGATTTTCTTTCTTCTTTCTGTGTTCCCTTGGTGCAGTTTTTGCACACTGAGATGTACTTGTCTGTTAGATGGGGAGCTGAAAGCAGCAATGCGGCTGCAAGGATTGGCAGAAGGGAGCTGCTTCAAGGCTCTGTGATTAAAGGAAGCTGCTGCAACGCACTGCAGTTGGAAAGGGGTGAGATTCTTGATGCTCAACAGCAAACAATGAGCATGGCTGATTTTATCACTTTCAAAGTGACTATAGATTGTCTTGCTTCTTAATGTGCTATATATAATTACATGAAAATGACATTTATATATATATATATATAATATATATAAAATCTTTCATTTTCATCTCTCATTTTAAAATATCTTTTAAAAAATAATGCCCCTAAGAAAACAGATAAAACAAAATGAACTTGTTTTACTAATAAATGCACTTTTTCTTTGTGAAATGTAGTCATTTGTTGTGTGCAGATCATCTTTGTTTGTGTCAGACAAAATAAATTATAATTCAGCCTTTTTATTAATAAGACCATTTCTTAGTCTTCAATTTCTTAGGCTCATGAAATGAAATGCAAAGAAAATACCATTTATGTAACATCATCTCTGATGTTGTATAACACAGTCACAACTGGGGAGTGTGTGCAATGCCTGACTTTAGAGCCTACATTTGATCGCTAAATACTTGTCTATTTGCTTGAATTTTCTTTCATGTCAGTGAAAATACAAAGAAACTGTAATAGAGTGATTCAGGCTGGGAACCTGGCTAGCAAGAGTCAAGAAAAGAAATATTTAAGTTCTGGCACCTAAATGAAATGTCTGAAGCTAAATGGCATGAGCCCAGGTTTCACTCCAGTGGGCTGCTTCCCACAGAAGCTCTTCCAGTTGTTCTTCTTAAGTGAGGCATTTGTTCAAGCAGAAATAAAAGGCTGACATTCTGGACCTGAGAAATAAAAGCTTCAAATAAATAATGGGTGTTTAGAAGGATAGGAATGACAAAACTTAGAAGCATTTCATTTCTACAAATGTCCTAAACATAGCTTTCCTCTGCCATTTAGCTCAAGGCAGAACTTCTACATACACAGAATAATTCCTGTGAAGTCACGCTGGTCATGTGGCCTTGAGATGTTCCAAATTTGTTTCGACTTTGTTTGCTTATTTGATCTGTGAGTGATTGTTCTTAGCTAAAATATTATAATGATGACTTGGAAAAATTGGAACACAACTGTAGAAGTAATAGC